GTGTTCGCATAGAGATCTTCATCAAGTGACGGAAGCTCCTAGTTTTACTCCTCGTTGTTGAGTGGTTTCATTGTGAAAGCATGTTGGATATTTTCACTTGCTTCTTATGCATCTATTCAGATGATCAGATCGTTTATGCCCCTTAGTCGATGAATGTGATGTATGATATTGATTGATTTGGGGATGCTGTACCAACCTGGCATCTCTCAAAGCTCTGTCGAGGTGTACAATCCTTTTTTACCCACTGCTGGGTTAGTTTATCTCTTTTTTGTTGTTGTTCTTTTTTTTAAATCGTTTTATTAGGGGCTCATACAACTCTTATCGCAATGCATACAAACATCAATTGTGTAAAGCACATTTGTACATTCATTGCCCTCATCATTCTCAAAACATTTGCTCTCCACTTAAGCCCCTGGCATCAGGTCCTCATTTTTCCCCTCCCTCCCCACTCCTGACTCCCTCATGAACCCTTGATAATTTATAAATTATTATTTTGTCATATCTTGCCCTGTCCAACGTTTCCCTTCACCCACTTTTCTGTTGTCCACCCCCCAGGGAGGAGGTCACATGTGGATCCTTACAAGTCAACGTTGCATCACCTTTGAGGAACCGCCCTCATACCAGCAGTGACTTTTGAGAGACCTCACTCCATTGCTGCACACCTGTGCACTAACAGAATCTTAACTATTGTCTCAACATCAATGGATCCAAATGCTAGGGATCATGATTTTTCCACCCTCTCACTCTCATGGGCCTCTGATAAATTATAAATGATTATTATTTTCATATCTTCCACTGCCCACTGTCTCCCTTTGCCCACCTTTCTGTTGTTTGTCTCCCTGGGGGGTGGGTTATACGATCATTGTAGATGGTTCCCCATTTCTCCCCCATCTCCCCTGCGTTCCCCCACCCTCATGGTATCACTACTCCCTTTACTGTTCCTGAGGAGGCTATCTGTCCTGGATCTCATGTGTCTTGAGCTCTTATCTGGACCAGTGTACATGCTCCGGTCTAGCTGGATTTGTATGGTAGAACTAGGGTCATATAGTGGGGGAGAGGAAGCGTTACAGAACTAGAGGAGTTGTGTGTTCTGTCGGTGCTAGCTATGCTGCATCCTGACTAATTTGTTCCTTCCTTGCGACCCTTCTGTAAGGGAATGTCCATTTGTCTACAGGTGAGCTTTTGGTCTCCTCTCTGACCCCCATCATTTGCATCAATATATTTGTTTGTTTGGCATCTTCTGATGCCTGATATCTGATTCTGTTGACACCTTATGATCACACAGGCTGGTGTGCTTCTTCCCCGTGGGCTTGTTGCTCTGCTAAATGGCCACTTGTTTAACTTCACGTCTTTAAGACCCCAGACATTTTATCTTTTAATAGCCAAGCCCCGTCAGCTTTCTTCACCACATTTGCTTATCCACCCATTTTTACTTTAGTGATCTTGTCGGGAAGGTGAGCATCACAGAATGCCAGGTTATTAGAACAAAGTGTTCTTATGTTGAGGGAGTACTTGAGTAGAGACACAATGCCTGTCTGCTACATTAATACTTAACCTTTAAATATATGTACATAGACCTATATCCCTATTAATATATTTTTATATTTACATATGTGCATGCCCATATTTGTATCTCTATAAATGTCTTTTGCCTATGCTAATTTTTTTAACCTTTTGGGCTGCTAATCACAAAGTCAGCAGTTTGAAACCACCAGCGCTCCGAGGGAGAAAGGCTGGGCTTTTTACTCCTATAAAGAGTTGCAGTCTCAGAAACTCACAGGGGTAGTTTCTACCCTGTCCTATAGGGTTGCTAGGAGTCAGCATTGACTTGATGGCAGTGAGGCTGGTTTTGAGTAATGCTCAGTGAATAGTGCTTGTGGCTTAGTGGGTTATGTACTGGGCTGCTAACCACAAAGTCAGCAGTTCAAACCTACCAGCTACTTTGTGGGGTGGGGGGATCAGACTTTCTGTTCCTTTAAAGAGTTACAGCTTTGAAAACCATAGACGGCAGTTCTATACGTCCTTAGAAGCTCACTGTGAGTCAGAATCTATTAGATGACAGTGGACTTGGTTTTTTTGTTTGTTTTAATATGCTCCAGTCCAAACTGTCATTATTAGCCAATTACAATGATTCTTCAAATCATGTAGTTTTGTCTGCATGTGCTACATGCTGTTGTTTTTCTTGCTGCTAGTATTTTTTGAGTCACCAATTTCATCAAATTTCTGGCATTTTAGTTGAACATTGTGGTGATTAGGGGTTTACAAGTTTGAGAATGAAGTAGTAAAAGAAAAAAAATTTTTGAAAGGCTTCTACTCAGTTACTAATACTAATGGTATTCACTGTAGAAAGATTTTACAAAATAAACGGTAGCATTCATATCATCTAAGAAATATCACATTTAAGCAATTTATAACTATATCACATACTATTCTAGAATTAAAAGTAATGGACACAGTCCCACAGGTTCCAGCTGGGTGATTTAGAGAAGGCCTATGCAGGGAGGGGACAAGACTCCACGAGTTCCCACACTAAGTGACACCAACCTTGGTGACACCACTAACCAAGGTGCAAAGAAGGTCAGGTAGCCATAATTTTCTAGATCAGATCAGGCTGCCTCAAGCCTCCAGAGGCTTGCCACAGTGACAAGATATCTTGGGCCTTATCAAGTCTTGATAGGGTGACCAGCGATTACAATTTGCACGGGACCAAGGCCTCTGGCACAGAGGTTTTTGCAGTTCTGAAATGAGTGACCACCAGGCAAACTGGAAGAGTTGGTCATTCTGTGTCTTGGACAAGCATCAGGTTACAGGTTTTCCCTTTGCTAGACAAAGAACATGACTAATGGATTTCTACATGCTACTCCTAGGACATCATAGGCACTCAATGTAATGTTTAATTTTATAAACAATCAGTGGATAAACTATGTAAAGCACAAAATATATGGAAAAATAGAAATATATGTATATATGAAAATATATATCCAAGGCCTGAGCCCCTATAAGAAATTACTTGATCCATAGAATTGAGAGCTCTGGGTAAACTTGCAGCTTCCAAGTTATTCCTTCCAGAGAACATTCTGTCCAGGCTTGAAGAGGTCAAGTTCTCTGAGTAGGGGCTATCCCCGGGCCCAAGCATACCCACACTGGGATTTCTAGATCATTGACTTCCTGTTTGATGGGTGAGATACACATTGGCCACATTCTCCATCCCATTTTGGATGTCTTCCTCAGGAAGACAGCACATCTCCAGACATAAGCAAAGTGTTAGGAAACCCAGCCTCTGAAAGCACCCCTAAAGCTCTTCTAGCAGGGCCTGGCATAGGGTAAGCATCGTAGGAATGTTCGTGATTGTGTGATTCCTTTTCCTGGGGCCAAATCACCTGACCCCACAAACATGTTAGGGAGGTTCCTCCACGCTTCCAAACCTGTCTGTTAATTTCAGATCACCCACCACAGGAATCAGCCACATCACCTCTTCTTGGAGATTATCAGTAGGTGCCTTCCCTCTTCCTGAAACCTTCCAAGCCTCCTCAGAGCCATATGCTGCACCCAAGGATGACCATGTGGCCAAATGCCACCCCCACCCCACCCCATCCCTCTGGGGTGGGACAACCAGGCATTCACCATCTTCTTTCTGCTTCATATGTTACTTCTCACTTGTGCCCCGTAAGATACTGGTCTTCCTCTACCTCCTTAAAGATCTCTTTCCCCACCAAAAAAATCTCTTTCCCTTAGCCTTTCTTCTTGTTACGTCTTCTTCCAAACTTCCATATGAACTACAGTGGCCGAGCCAGTGTGTTTCCTTTCATCCCAGCTACAGGGAGACTCTCTTTGTACTAGAGATAATCCACCATCTCTTCAAGCAGAAGGACACAATTTACAGATGACTACATAGTTCCTGAAGCTTTATGGTTTTCCCTGAAAAAAAAAAAAGGCCACAGATTGCCTCATGGCCAGGGCCATTAAAAGGCTGTGCCTAGATAAGCTGCCTTGGAAACGGACTTGTTCCTTCTCCTTACCCCTGGTGCTGGCCTCAGCCACTCTCCCTGGCAAGAGGCAAAGTGTCACTCTCTGCTCTAGGGCACCCTGCACTCAAAGCCCATTCTGACCCTTTTCTGTGTCCTGAAACTGGGGAATTAGACCCTGGGCCCTGTCTTCCCTCCCTTCCTGGTATGCCAGGACTGCCCTCTCCTGCCAGCCTTCTCCTCCTCTCACCTCACAGGCTGCCTCACAGCATTCCTGAGCCTTCTCGGGGACATTCCAAGGATATTCCAGATCACCCTCCTCTACTCTGGCTGTTTGCAAGACAAAAAGCAAACTTTTTCACCCTCAAAATAAGACCAACCTTTTCATGACATGCAAATAGAAGTCTCTGTTTCACTTATGAGCCCTAAAAATCTGCATTTTATCAAAATGTGTGTGAATTATTGAATGGAAAACCAGTTTGCTCTGTAAATTTTCACCCAGACCACAATAAAATGTTAAAGCAGCCACAAACCATTTCCCACCGAGTGAGCCATACATCAGCTCTCTTTGGGATGGCCCCTCAGAGCCCTGGAGGTGCTGTTCGGTAAACAGTTTGATTGCCAACAATAAGGTTGGAGGTTCAAACCCAACAGCATCTCCTCAGGAGAAAGATGAGTCTGTCTGCTCCCATAAGGACTTACAAGGCCTCCGAAGTCCTACCTGGGGCCACTATGAGTTGGAATCCACTTGATGGCAGCGGGTTGGGTTTGGTGCTGACTTGTATGTCAGGCTAAAGGATAGCTCATGTATCTCGGTTGTTAGCCCTTATGAGGAATTCTCTCTGAGGCATCACTGACCGGGAAGAGTAGCGCCTCGCAGTACTGGGAATTCAAGCAGGAAGCCCTTCCTTGTCAGGGCCAAAGGGAACGAGCTCAGCCCTCCCTGCCTCCCTGAGAGGAACTCAGCAGCCCCAACTGGGATAGGTCTGCACATGCCTGAAGATGCACCCAGGTGTATGTCTTCCCTTGTTTCAGAAACGAGAGTGGCTGCTGTTGGCCAAAGGAGAGCCCCTGAGCCGGGGAAGCACCCAGAGAGCTCCTGCCAGCACCTTCTATGTGGTCATGCCATCACCCTCCCTCACTCTGCTTGTCAAAGCCGTAGCCACGCGAGAACTCATGCTGCCCAGCCCCTTCCCCCTGCTGCCCGAGGACCCACCTGATGACAGCCTCAGGACTGTGGAGGCAAGTGGGGCCTAGGTCTCCCAGACCCCTGGGTCCGAGAGAGGTGAGGGAAGAAAAGGGAGTAGAGGAAGGATGAGGGAGAGGAGTGAATGCTTGAGGGGAGGGATGGAGAGGAGGAGGCTGATTCCAGGGGTGTGAAGGGAGCCTGGCAGAAGGAAGCAGGAGAGGCTCCGTGGTGGGTGGAAGGGCATTACTCAAGGTTGAGGTTACGGCAGTCGTGCAGTAGGTAAGATAGAAGCAGAGGGAGACTGAATAGGTGCGATTACCTCAAGCAATCGAGGCAGTGGAGAAGCGCCTGAAAGAAAAGCTCCATGAGAGGGAGTGTGTGTGTATGCAGTTGGTACAGGGAGTGCCTGGGGTCTAGGGCCATCCCTGCAGGGTCACACACACACACACACACACACACACACGCACGCACGCACGCACGCACGCGCACACGCACACGCACACGCACACGCGCCTGAGACCTGATTCACATGTGCACCAAAACCAAAAGAAACTGGCCCAGCAGGGATGCTGAAGAGAAGGCAAGGGCGTGTGGAAGCAGGAGAGGAAGCCATCAGAGGCCCCAGTTTCAGCCCCAGCTCCTGTACCTGACTCTCCTGTTTGTGCACTAGCTGCCTCTCCAGCCCCAAGGCCCATGTCCCCTCCCCCCCCACACCCTTCCCCCATACAGGGAGGACACTGTGCCGTGGAGGAGAGAAGAAAAGAGAAGGGGTGTATTTGGGGCAAAAGGGGGAAGGTGCAGCGGGAGGCCGAGGCAGAAAAGGAGAGGGGGAAAACCAAAGATATCAAAGCAATACAATCTTTTGTATGAGCTCTGGAGCGTGCATGTGTGTCCTTGTGGCCCTAAGTGTGTGTCTGTGCTTGCGATTCTAGAAAGACTGGTCTCTGTGTCCATCTGTGTGACAGTGTGGCTTCAGGAGCCCTGTATGTTGCACAGCCGGTATGGGGGGGCAGCCAGTGCAGGGGCCCAGGATAGGAATAGCTTCAAAATGAGGCTCAGCTGCCCTAGAGAGCTCAGCTCCTAAGGCCCCTCTCCTTCTCCGGGCTCGGTTTAGCATGTCCTCCGTTGGCCTCCCAGGCTGGGGCCGGAGGGGTGGCCCTGGGCATGGAGAGCAGCGACCACTGGGCCGCTGCCAATTGGCTGCCTGACGTGCATAAAGGACAGAGCTTGGGATTGTGCTCCCGGCTTGGCGGCCGCGGGGATTCAGAGAGAGGTGGGCACGAGCGGCGCTGGCCGGCCCCACGTCTCACTTCGGAGCCAGAGGTTGCTGGCACAGCATGTTGTGGCCGGAAAACCTGACTGCTCAGGAATACTGCTCACTGGCCCCGCCCCGGGAAGCTCAGGGAACACAGGGCGCTCCCCGCCCCTGCAGAGCCAACCATCCTGCCACGGACACGCCCCCACCTCGCCCCCCAGCACCCACAGCATCCCTGTCCCCTCCTGACGCCTCAAAGAACCACTGGGCACACTTCTCTGGGCTGGGGTCTCCAGTTCCCCTGACTACTTCTCTTACCTTTGCCTGACCTTCTCACAGGCACCCAGAGCCCAGGGACCCGACCTAGCTCACAGCTTCCGGGGACCCCTCACTCACACCTCCAGTCTCACACCTCCTCCTGGTCCTCTGCCTTTGTATTTCTATGACTTCGTTCCCCTGGGGAGGCCCCTCCTCTCTCTTCCTCAGAGCCTGCTGGACAGCCTGGAGCTGGAGGACACCTACAACCCCTTCCAGGTTTGGAGCCACCTGTACTCACACCTGACCAGCACCTTGGCCAAGCCTCAAGGGCGGCCACAGCCCAGCTGGGAGAGCCGGCCCCTGAGAAAGGTACCAGCTGCCAACCCTGCCAGCCCTTCCTGCATCCCTCCATCCCTCCCGCCGCTCGGGCCTGGAGTCCCAGTGAGAGCACCTTCCTGCTTGTAGCTCTTTGGAGGGCAAATGTTCTGTTCGTGAAACCCATGTGCTCGAGTGTTTCGGCCTCTCTGTGCGGTGACCTGTCTTTTCCTAGTTTCTCAATAACATTGCCTTTAGAGCAGCGGTTCTCAACCTGTGGGTCTCAACCCCTTTGGGGGTTGAACGACCCTTTCACAGGGGTCGCCTGGATCCTAACAGTAGCAAAATGACAGTGATGAAGTAGCAACGAAAATAATGTTATGGTATGAAAGGGTCGCAGCATTAGGAAGGTGGAGAACCACTGCTTCAGAGAAACTTCTGTTTTGCTGTAGTTGAAGTTAAATGGGTATAAGCAGATGGGTGAGACCAGGTCACCCTCAGCAGACAAGCTTTTCTGAGCTCATGAAATCCAAGCCTCATTCCATTCCCCAATCCCCACCCCTGGGAGTTACCCTCCTCCGTGACCACAGCTTGAGTGAAAGAGCCGGGCCAACACGGAGGAAGACAAAGAGGGACCTTTCACCCTATCTTTTGTTTTTGCGGGGTTGCGGGGCGGGTTGAGTTTGCCCCAGCGGTTTTCCTAGGCCGGAATCTTCCCCGGAAGAAGATCCCCAATCCTTTTGCTCCTGGAGCCCCTGGGGCACTCAGGCCCTGCTCTTCCGGGGAGCTGCTTAGCTGCTGGCTGAACCACTGGGCCACCAGGGCTCCTTGGTCCTTGACTCTAGGCTGAGGAAATCTCAGTCAATCAAGTAGGGGGTCAGCTTTGGTATTTACATATGACAGTGCTTAGGTGTCCTAACTGTAGTGTTCATGAACCACAAACAGCTACCATCCCAGTAAGCAAACTTGACTGCCTGGAACTGCCAACAGCCCCTACCTTGAAAGAAATCAGACAGGAAGGGATATTCCCATGTCCTCAGGACTGTGCTAAGTGCTTTCACGCAGACTTATCTCATTTTATAACCCCAGCAGCCCTGCGAGGTAAGTCTTAAATGCTTATTGGCTGGTTAAGGGCAAAAGTTCCTTTCATGAAATCCATGTTCTCTAGTGTTTGGTCTTCTTTGTGCAGTAACTAGTCTTTTCTTAGTTTCTCAGTAACATTGCCTCTAGAGAAACTTCCGTTTTGTCGTAGTTGAAATTAGATAAAGACGATTCCATCCTACAGCCCAATCTAGAGACCAGATGTGTGGAAGTAGTGTCCACCACAGACCTCCCTCCATGCCCCCTGCCACTGAAGTGAATTGGCTGGGAGGCTACACTGTGGCAGCTGGAGCCCTAGGGCCTCCATGATCCTGCCACTGGGCCTTAGGGCTGTCACTCTAAGGATGGAGAAGTTAGGACAGGCCCAGCAGGGCGCTGCCCTGACCAGGACCTGTGGTCTTCTCTCTCTTTGCAGACTGGGCAATTGCTGACTAATCGGGCTCGAGCCACAGTGGCGCCCTTGCCTGTGACTCCAGCCCCAGGAAGAGCCCCCAAAGTGTCAGCAGCCCAGAAAGCTACTTCGAAAGCCTTCTTGCTGCCTTCCAATGAAGAGGAGGAGGAGGAAGAGGAGGAGGAGCCATGAGGGCCCCAAATCACCAATGCCAGCGCCTGACTGCCCTATTCAGCCATGTGCATGCTAACTCACACAGTGGCTGTCTGGAGTCAGCTTTGCTAACGCTCCACCTGAGCCTCTGCGCTGCCTCACCAGTGCCTGGGAAAGAGAGCCTACCCCTCTTCTGACCCTCCAGGCAGCTGGGTCCCTCCCCAGGCCTCCAGAGGAGACACACCCAAGCATTTTCCTTTTCCAAGCAGGGGGCTCTAGTTTTCCTTGGGTTCATTTGATCCTGTTGACAGAGATGAAGATTAAACTCATGGAACTGCTGCCATTGTGAGGAGCCAGAATTTCTTCCCTGTAGCTGTGTACGCAGGTGGAAGAGGTCAGCTCACCTCTGGGACACTGAGCCTCCAGAGACAAGGGTGAGATTTTCAGGGCTCATGAAAAACCAGCAGCAATGAAACCCGAGCCTCATTCTAAAGCCCATGGCCCTCCCCTTGCACAGCCACAGCTTCAGCTTCCAGACAAGTGGTTGATATTCAGCAGTGTGTGCGTGGGAGGAGGGGGGTAGATATGAAGAAAGCAAGCCTACCCCCCTTCCCCTCACCCTATGCCCAACCACTTTCCTGCCAAGCCCCGACCCCCACGCCAGTCCACAGAACTACCCCGTTTATAAAACATTTAGTGGGTTTGGTGCTAAGGAGGCCTGTGACATGTTGGGCTGCTAAGCACAGGCTCAGCAGTTCAAATCTATCAGTCACTCCTCAGAAGAAAGATGAGGCTGTCTACGCCAGTGTGGGAACTGACTTGATGGCAGTGAGTTTGGTTTGGTCTGGTGCTCCAAATGACATGAAGTACTTTAATTCTTTCATTTCAGACAAACAACCCTGTGAGGTGGGTAATATCCCCGGTTTTCCAACAGGAGTAGCATGGAGGAACTGAGGGTTGGAATGAAAAGTAACTTTTTAGGTTCCCAGAGTTAGAGTCCAGCCTAGCCCACACTCCCCATCACTGGGGCCCTTCCGCCACCCCAGCCCCCACCCTTTCCTGGTTTTCCTCCTGATCCCCCACAAGCCCCACAACCTGTACACCCTACCACTTGTTTATCTTCACACACATAGACCTTAAACCCCAAATGGCTTTAATGAGAAGGAAAAAAATGTTTTAAAATATATATCTGGCAAAGAACAATGCATGGGTTCAGGTCCAGGCACAGCATTTCCCTGGAGCCTCCATGCAGGCCCCTGAACATGCATCTGTTCTCATCAACCCCCCTTTCCACAGACTTGATCCAGTAGCAGCCCATTGTTTTGGGAGGTGGAACTCAGATATCCCACCCCTGTACCAGCCATTGCTTCCACTTCCTGAGACTTCCTGAGACGGAATGACCTTCCCTTGACTCCCCCACAGTCCCCGGGCCCCTGGTGTCACAAGGAACTTCCTGTGCCTTGGTTCCCTCCGGTTCTAGCAGATAACTTTCTTCCCCTGTTCGATGGTCCTCCTGTCAGCTCCCTAGCCTGGCCTTCCTCTCATACGGAGCCCTCGGACTTGACACCAGTCCTATTGGCCCCTGCTCTGGAAAGCCCACAGTCCCAGCTCCCAGAAGCCCCGCTCTTCTGGACCTGGCTGTACAGGGCCCTGTCTGAGCTGTAGTCTTTGTTGTCATTGTCAGTTTTAGTACCAGGCTCAAGGAAGGCCAGGCCCTGGGGCTTGGGAGCTATGAGAGGCTTTGTGCTACGAGGCAGCGGCACAGCATAGTCGTCGGTGGCTGGGTTGTAGGGGAGCTCGTAGCCCTCCTCCTTCACCCGAGCCTGGCAGTGCCACGCATCCTTGGGTTCCTGAGGGAAGTCATACAGGCTTCGGGGAGGCGCTGGGGCCAGACTCTCAGGTTCATCATAGATGGGGTCCTCTTTGAAGTCTTTCAGGTTGACCTTTAACAATTGGTGCTGCACATGTTCATACAAGGACCAGTAGAGAGGTTTCTTCACCTGTACCCCTTCCTCTGCCCGAGCAGGAGTGCTGTCCAGTGGGTCTGAATACAAGGAGTCCTGGGAAGGGTCTGGAGGGGTGCGCAGGGAGTCTAAGGGTTCCGAATACAGGACCGGAGGGCTATCCAGTAACTCCTGGGGGCCCCAAGGGGAAGCCAGCTTCCCTTCTGCCACTTCTCCTTCTTGGGAGACTTGCCCTTGAGCAGCCTTTGTCTGGGCCTTCTGCCGGTGGATGGCTGTCTCCACGGCCTGGAAGATGTCATTTCCCTGTGCTGTCTGGAAGGTGAAAGTACCAGGCCCCGAGGGGCAGCGGCGGCCAGCTTCAAAAGAAAACATGACCTGAGGTGCGTGGAGGCAAGGATAGAGGTGAGTCACACGGTTCAACTAGACAGAGAATATGACAGGGTAACAAATGGGGGTCCCAGAGAGAGTGCTTCCCAC